GAACACTGGGTGTTATACGCAAACAATGAATCATGGAACACTACATCAAAAACTAATGATGTAATGTATGGTGATTAACATAACAATACAAAAATTTAAAAAAATATATCATCTGGGGAAAAAAAAAAGCAAATCCCTTCTGCTGTGCACCTCTCTCCAGGACTAGGAAGAATATCTTCCTCTTGTAATTCATCTGATTTTCACTCTCCATTGGATTATTCCCATTGGCATAAAAACTGGCTGTTATTTATTATTATGTTTTATTTTATTTTTAAAGATTTTATTTATTTATTTGAGAGAGAGAGAGTGAGCATGAGCAGAGGGAAAGGCAGAGGGAGAGGGACAAGCAGACTCCATGCTGAGCACAGAGCCCAATGTGGGGCTCAATCCCAGGACCCTAAAGTCATGACCTGGGCCGAAGTTAGATGCTTAACTGACTGACTCACACAGGTGCCCCTGTTATTATTTTAATAAACACTTCCTTTGACACTATTTTCTCTGTCAGCTACTACCCCATTTCTCTGTACTTCTTGAGGGCAAAATCCCTCATGAGTTGTCTAAACTCACTGTCTCAAATTCCTCTCCTCTCAATCTATCTAAACCTTCTCTAGTCAACTACATTTTCATAAAACTGTTGTTGTCAAAGTCCCCAATGATCTTAGTCAGTTTTCAACCCTCATCTAACTTGACCCCTCAGCAGCAGCATTTGACCCAGTGGATCACTCCCTCCTCCTTAACACACTTTCACTTGTTTCCCAGGTAACCACCACTCTCCTAGTTTTCTTCCCACCTCCCTGGGGGCACCTCCTCAGCTTCCCCTGCTGGTTATTTCTCTTCTCCTCAACCTGCTAAGAATAGAATGCCCCCAAAGCTTGGTCTTTAGTCTTCTCTTTCTTTTCCATACGTACCATTTCATAGCTTTAAATTTCACCTACGTACCTGTAACTCTCATTTGGTATCTCCAGCCTGAACTTTTTTCATGGCTTACTGCTCACGAGGCATCCCAAACATGACATGTCTGGATTGACCTCCTTACACACCACCACAAAACCCTACTCTGCCTACAAGCTTATTCATTTCAGCTAATGGCCTTTGTCCAAAAGCTTCAGTATCACCCTTGATGTTGATGTCTTTCTTTCTCTTATATCCCACATCTGGTTGGTTGGGAAAGCTTGTTGAAATTTTCAAAATATTTTCAGGTTCTGAACACTTCTCATCACTTCCAAGTTATAATCCTGACTCAAGTTATAATCATTTCTGGACTCGTTCAGTAGTTCTCAAACTTTGCTGCCCATTGGAATAATCACCCAAGGATCTTTAAAACCTGACTGGCGGGGCGCCTGGGTGGCTCAGTTGGTTAAGCGACTGCCTTCGGCTCAGGTCATGATCCTGGAGTCCCGGGATCGAGTCCCACATCGGGCTCCCTGCTCGGCAGGGAGTCTGCTTCTCCCTCTGACCCTCCCCCCTCTCATGCTCTCTCTCTCTCTCTCTCATTCTCTCTCAAATAAATAAAATCTTAAAAAAAAAAAAAACCTGACTGGCTCCCACCACTTGATATTTTTATTTAATTGGTATGGGATGTGTTCTGGGTGCTGGGATTTTTCACTACTCTCTAGGTGATTCTAATGTGCAGCCAAGTTTGGGAATCTGCAGCAAAGGTATGATAATAGCCACCTAACTGATCTCCCTTCTTCTGCCTGTCCCCACCTCCCGGTCTATTCCCAACACAGCAAATAGAGATAATTTTAAATTATAAATCAGATCACATCTCGCTAAAAACCCTCCAACAGCTTCCTACACCATTTAGAGTAAAAGCCAAAGGTTTTACAATGGCCTAAGAGGTCTTATATAAACTGCTCTGTCCTCCACCCCACCCCACCCCATCACTTCTCTATTACACATCCCTCACTAAGTGCTCCATCAATGCTCCTTACTTTCTGTGAACAACCAGGCATCCTCTCACCCCAGGACCTTTGCATTAACCATTCCTTTTACCTGAAATACTCTTCCCCCTGATATCTGCATATCAAACATTAACTCAAATATCACATTCTCAATAAGGCCTACCCTAACCTCATTTTAAAATTTACCACTGTACTACTCACCTCACTTGTTCTCTTCTGTAAGGCAAAAGAGTGATAGTGATAAAGTGGATGACAGTGACTTCAGATAAGGAAGAGTGGGAAATGAGCAGATTGGAGTAAAAATAGAGTTCTGTTTTGGACATGTTGTTTGAGATGCCCGAATCTAGACACCCAGATCTAACCAGATGTCAAATGGGGAAGAAGTTGGAGCTGTCCTATAAAAATGGGAGCAGATAGATGGTGTTTGAAGTTTTAATACTCTGGGGATCACCTTGGGAGAGACAAGGATGAGAAGTGAAGTCCGTGGTACACCAATATGTTGAAGTGAGATAGAGGTGGAGTCCACCAAAAGAGATGAGAAAAAATAGAAGAAAAACCAAGAGTGTGGAGGGTCCTATCATGAAAGACTTTCAAGGAAGCTAACATGTCCATTGGTACCAGGATGACAATAAGGACAGACAAATACTCCTGAATTTGGTCTGATGGGAAGTCACAAAACTTGACCAGGACGGTTTCAGTGTCATGGTGGGTTCAAAGACTTGGGGTTGCCTCAATTCTAGTGGGAAGAAAGGGACTGGAAACAGCACCTATTCCTGTCTTTTTGTTAATGAGAGCAGTTCTAAATTTGTGGCCCATGAACAAAGATCACGGATGGGTTTCAGGAAGACGTTTTCCCAAGTCCTGCCTCCAAACTGCAAAACTTCATGCGTGTGCTAGTTTTTCTGGAGAGATCTCCAAAGCTTTCATGATGTTTATCGATAATTTGTGCCATTCATCTGAGACTAAGGTGATTAATTGGCGTCAAAGCCTGCACTTCAGATTGTTACTCGATTCCTGCATGGTTTCTTCCAGGTTCTGATTTAGTATCACACTAGGTGGCTCGTCCTCAGACTATCTCCCACTCGGGCGCGCCCTGGGCTCCTTATTTAGAGACCACCCACATCCACACTTCCATTTAGGCTTGCTAGCGTAGCCCCTATTCATAAGCATTGTCCGGTCGCTCTACTATCCAGGTCGAGCTTTCTAACGCCCAGTCTATCCTTTGCCTTCACACAATCCCATCCTACAGCCCTTAAACCCCAGGAAGGAACCTCCTCGGCGGCCCATTTTCCCCGCCTCCTGCACCTTCGCGAGTCGCCGCTGGGGAGCGGGTCAGGCCTCTGCGCTCGCCGTCTTCTGGGAACAGCTTTACGATACGTTGACCGTCATTTTACGACACGCTGGGGTTGCTTTGTGGCTGTCAACTTTCCCCGAGGTCCAAGTTGGTAGCTACCTTGTGTGTGGTAGCAGATACTACGGCCGCGGAGAAATGAAGCAGAAGCGGAAAGGTACGGAAGGGAGAGAGAGGAAGACGGGGCAAGCGGGGTGATAGGGAAGGGGCGAACACCTGGGACGGTGAGGTGCTGAACGCAGTTTTTCCCGCGGGAATCCTCTGCCTGAGCCAGTCGCCCTGCCACCCTAGGGTCGGTCCGTGTGTCGGCTCCAGCCCCTTGCCTTCTCGTTTTACCTGTTGTGCTTTTTAAACCAGCCTACCCTTTTCCCTTTTGGCAGTCACTTGGTGTCTTTTGTGTAGATGGCAGGAAAAGCTTTGTTCCAAGGTATGCTGTTCAAGGAGTTAATGTGGTCGGTCGATTCAAAGTGCTCTCGGGTCTCTTAATTTGCTAAAATTTGTTTTATGGTACATTTCACCTTTTTTTTTTTTTATTGAGATTTTCCTTTAAGATCTGGGTTTAAAAAAAAAAAAACTCTGAGTTCTTGGTTTTCTGTGGGACAGTTGTGTAGTTATTTTCGTTTATACTACCTCCTGAATTAGCATGGTGCAATTCCATCTTTTGTTTTCAACAGGATAGAGTCAGATTTGTAAGTATTTTCTTACAAGTTCTAAACTTATTTCTGTACATTCATGTGACAAGTCGGTCTAATCATGATTGGTGGCTATGATAATAATAGCTACTATTTATTGAGCATTTCCACTGTGATGGAAAGTGGAATCTTTCCCGCGGGAGATTCAAAGAGTTAAGTAACTTACCCAGCCCAAAATTATACGTAGGAAGTGGAACTGATGGTCAGGCTCTCTGTGTGCACCCAAAAAACCACAATTTTTTTCTTTTAAATCTGTCTTTAGTCACTATGCCTCTGGGCATCCACTACCATTTCTTAGAACAACAGCTCCAAATGTCCAGGTTACTTTCAGTTGTCTTGTGGCATCACACTACATGCCCCCAGTTAGTCATCTTCTGCATTGCTCTTCCTCAGACTATCAGGCCAGACAGCTTCCCAGTCTTCACTTCATCTATCACTAAGCCCTGCCTCTTGAAATAGTTTATTACTCATCATTTTGGCCATCATCCTCTTAATCCACCTCCATCAATAACTAATATTTGAATACTACTTTGGCTTTCCTATACGTTATTTGAATTGATTCTTAGAATAGTCTTGTCAAATGTGTATGTTTTATCCCAATTTGGCAGGCAGGGAAATGGGAATACAGAAGTCTTTGATCTTCCCATTATCACACAGCCAGTAGGGGTTGGGAGCTAGGGATGGGAACCTAATATCCAAGATTTTTACTTTTAAATCTTGTGGGAGTTTTACATTATTGCCTTTCAAGAGCCTTTTATTTAGTATCAAATTCTGTGTATTCTTTTTACCTTCTGAATCATTTTTGTATCATTTTCTTATGTACTTTTTTTAAAACACTACTTTCATCTTTTTACTCCCAAACTTGAGAATATATTAGTCTCCACTCCATTTAAATGCCTTTGCCTAGTAGTCAGTGTATCCTATAATCTATTTTTTTATTGAACCTTTTTAGGCAACACTCCTTTACACAAAGATAGATAACTCCTATACCTGACATTGTTCCTTCTGGATTGTCCTCCGTTTCACTTGTCCACTCCTTTCCTTTCTTTAAAGTCCCCTGTGCCGTTTCCTCCATGAAGCCTTTTCTTACTAATTTGCTTCTCTAGTTATTTTTTATACTCAAGAGCTGTATATGTGGTTTTCAAATCTTTATCTGTTTTTATTATCACCTGAATCCTCTTCTCCTCTCCAGATTATTACATAGAGCTTCAATATATTACAGATGCAAAAGCCAAGCTGCTTTGGTTTAATCAAGAAAGAGACCCTCCTTTTCCTTCCTTTCCTCCCTCTCCCTCTTCTTCCAGCACCACCACCAACCCTGCCTCTGTTACATGGTCCTTGAACCACCTTTTTGGAACTCTGAATTACGTGGTTTCGAAAGCATTTAGCCTTTGATTATAGATGGACTTTTTTCCCTCAACATTGTGTGTGTTAACTTTGCTTCATTAAGTTAGAGGCAGCTTAGTACAGAGAAAAAAGCGTGGAACTTGTGGAGAAAACACCTGGATTTGAGTCGTAACTATTCCATTTACAATGGCATCTTAACTTCCCTTAATTTTTAACACCTGTAAAAGGGGCTAACACCATCTACCTTACAGTGTTGTGAGGTTTCAAATGAGATAAATAAAGGGGCTCCATTACTGCCAGGGCTTTCTCATCTATTCTTCTCCCTGATGACTCCATTGTCTCTGCACACTAGCGTTCTCTACAGGCTGGAAGTATGCTTGGTGGCAGTTACCAAGCCATATCACTGGTGGGAGAGTGGCATTTTTTGCCTTGAGGAAAGAGCTCAGATTGGCCTGACTTGGATAGGTGCCTGACCTTGAACCGATCTATTGTAATTGGGATGGAGTCATGTAAGAACATGTCAGCTTCTGCTTGTCATGTCAGCCTCAGTTGCCAGAAGGTCATGATGGTGGACAGACTATCTCTTAGATCCCTAGGCAAGTATAGAACCAACATTCTTTGTATTACAAAGGAGCATTGCATTGCTTTGTAATATTACGTCTGTGGATACCTGGATTTGAGTTTCAACTTTACCCCTTGGTGGCATTTTTGTGGGACAAGCAAATATTCCTATTCTATCTACTGCATTCTGAGAGATGAAATAATGCATCTAAATATCATTATAATTCTGGAGATAAAGGGAAGCTATTTTAACCACTTTGATGCTTTCTTGTGCAATTTGGTTCTTTCTCCTCATGTCTGTCTCTATTCTTTCCTGTATCTATCATTCTTACAATGTTTGTACTTCTAAAGTGAATTCTCCCCATATATAGATGAAGCAGGTTTGTTTTAATTAAGGATACAAAAGGTATGCTCAAACTGTAAACAGTGGAAGTTTGGTGTCTTGTAAACTTGAGCTGTTCATCTGAGATGGTTGGAATAATTTTGGAAGAAAAAAAATAAATACAAAAAACTTTACCGGGTTATATGGTTTTTTACATTGTTAAATATTATTTTTCCAGGAGATCTCAGCCCTGCTGAGCTGATGATGCTGACTATAGGAGATGTTATTAAACAACTAATTGAAGCCCACGAACAGGGGAAAGACATTGATCTGAATAAGTAAGTTGGTTTATAAAACAGAAGGCAGTCTTGTTCTTAGGTGGTAGATCTTTTTTTTTTTTTTAAAGATTTATTTATTTATTTATTTATTTGACAGAGAGAGACACAGCGAGAGAGGGAACACAAGCAGGGGGAGTGGGAGAGGGAGAAGCAGGCTTCCTGCCGAGCAGGGAGCCCGATGTGGGACTCGATCCCAGGACCCTGGGATCATGACCTGAGCCGAAGGCAGACGCTTAACGACTGAGCCACCCAGGCGCCCTTAGGTGGTAGATCTTTTTATTGAAATTATCAATTGAAATTATCAAATATGACTTGTTTTCTATCTCACGTTTTATATTTTAATTGAGAACTTAGCTTTCTGCTCTGCCCTGTCACTCATTTATGGCAAAATTCTATCACAGCCTAAGAATACTAATAGCTTCTAATATTTATTGGGCGCTTACTATGTCCCAATCACTGTTAGTAGTACATTGTATTAGTTCAGTTGGTCCTCTCAAAAACTGTGTGAGTTAGGTTCTTATATCACCCTCATTTGACAGTTGGGTATGAGACAGGAAGATTAGATAATTTGTCTAAAAGTAAAGAACTAGTAATTGGCAGAACTGGGATTTGGAATTAGATCATCTGTCTCAGAGCCCCTGTTGTCTTCTCTGCTGTATCACTTCACATCCTTGTTCCCTTCCTCCTGTCTCAGGAAGCAGTAGCTCTTTTAGGAAAACCCTGCCTTTGGGATCTTTGATCTAATCCAACCCTTTCCTACTTTATAGCTTTTTGACCTGTTCATCTGTTTCCTTTCCACAATCATGTTCAGTTTTGACTTTGCTACATCCTCAGTTAAGAGTAGTCTTTCATCTCTGCATCTTTTGTTTCCATTAGATTTTCACTAAGTAGATCTCTAATGAAAAGATTTTCTCCCCACACCCAGTAGGTCATCAGTGATCTAAATCACCACAGCATGGCCTTTTTAAGACTGTTTCTTGTGCTTGAGATACTACAGTGTTTTATCACTTCCTTGGAATATTGTGCTTAATAAACTTTTGCTAAAGGAATAAATAAGTTACTTAACTATCCTTTCTTGACTGTGGAGTTATATTTTACTGATTTTTCTATCCTGTCTTTAGAAGTTGCTTTTCTGTCATTGTTGGCTATACCGCTAATTATACAAAAGTCTCTTGTTTCTAGTGAACATTTTTTCTTCTTGTATTTTTTGTCAGTCTCTTTAATTTAGCACATCTAAAGTTTACACTAACATCTTCCTGAAAATAAGCCTCTATGCAGATGTCCTCTTTGCTTAATTGTATTAACCTTCACCCAGGCTTGAAACTCTAGGGGCGCCTCGGTGGCTCAGATGGTAAGCATCTGCCTTCGGCTGAGGTCATGATACCAGGGTCCTGGGATGGAGTTCCTCATCGGGCTCCCTGCTAGGCGGGGAGCCTGCTTCTCCCTCTGCCAATCTCTCTCTCTCTCTCTGATTTTCATGAATAAATAAATAAAACATTAAAAAAAAAAAAAGAAACTCTAGTGTCCTCTTCCTTAGTTCCAGTTAATATTTAAATTTTGCCTACTCTCTCTTCATTATGACTCTCACTTTCATTTCCACTACTAACTCCCTAATTCATCCCTTTTTTAACTTAATTCTAGACTACTGCAGTAGCTTATGCTTTCAGTCTATATTTCCTGCTGGGTTAATTGTTCCTTGTTCTTGTCTTTTATCATGTCATTTCCCTGTACAGGAATTTTCAGTATGTCCCCAACATTTATGAAATTAAATGCAAATTCCTCAGCCCATTATGTAAGGCCTCTTGGTCTGGCTTCAACTTGCCCAACTTTTTAAATTTCTGTACCTTTACATTGAAAGTGTCCTGCTTTATATTAAGTCTACCCATATATCTTAAAATATGTGCATTCCTGTTTTTGTGTCTTCGCATAAGCCAGCCTATTTGTTCTCAGTGGCATCTCCATGTTTTCACTGCCTGCCTGAAGCCAACTCTTTTCTGTGCCTATTTTCCATGACTGTCTCCCCAGCACCCATTGAGTTCCTCTCTTGAACTCTGGACACATTCATTATTGTATGTGTGTTTTATCACATATTTTTATCACTTACACATTTATTTTTGTGAATGCCTATCTGAAAACATAGCAACATACAAACATAGAGCATGAAACAACTATGCCTTATACTTTCTGGCATACCAAGTACTTGTACTCTTTACAAATCAGGTACTGAGTTAACATTTTTTGAAAATGATGCAGGGGCACCTGGGTGGCTCAGTCGTTAAGCGTCTGCCTTCAGGTCAGGTCATGATCCCGGGGTCCTGGGATCGAGCCCCGCATCGGGCTCCCTGCTCAGCGGGAAGCCTGCTTCTCCCTCTCCCACTCCCCCTGCTTGTGTTCCCTCTCTCGCTGTGTCTCTCTCTGTCAAATAAATAAATAAAATATTTAAAATTTTTAAAAAGTGATGCAAATACGTCACAATATTTTTAGATGGATTAAAATGAGAAATTAAGGTGACTGTTAGGGTTTGCTAGCACCAAGAAACAAGAAACCAGTAAAATTATAGAGAAAAGCAAGGAATATTAATTGGGTTGAAGGTTATTTTTAGGGATTAGGGATAAAGTTATAATCAGGAAGGGATAAATGGATTTTCTGAAGTGCTGATGATATTGTATTCCTTGGAGTGTAGTAACACAAGTGTTTGCTTCATAAATTTTAAAGTATGTTTATATGTTTTATGTTCTGTTTTTTATGTATATATTATTTTATGTTAGAAAAAGTTTTAAAACACTTTAAAAATATATATACTTTATTTACTATTTGGTTCTGTACACCTTTCCTTCAAATTGTTTTTTGTTTGTTTGTCTGGTCTAAGACCATAGCTCACAACCAGGCATGATACCCCCCACCCACCCACCCAGGAGACATTTTTAGTTGTTAACAGTGGGAGTGGGGTGCTGGTGGGTAGAGGCCGATGAAGCTGCTAAACATCCTACAGTGTAATAAACAGTCCCTTACAACAGAATTAATCCCAGATGCTATAGTGTTGAGGTTGAGAAAAGGGTAGAATGCTGTGAAGCTAGAGCAGTTTGTTAAATGAGACCTACCTTGTGTCACTGTCCTGGGACCTTCCCTGTAGTCATCTTGTTTTCTTTCTGGTACTCCAGAGTAAGAAGAAGTCATTGATATGTTTTCCTGATTTTCTTCTATTTTTCTGATACTCACAAATTTTAAAGCCACTGTTGTCACTGGGTGAAAAGATAGGGGAGTGACAGGAGTTGATGATGTTATTTGTAGGCCATTCTTTTGGTAGTATGCCTTGAAATATTATGATCTTGATAATGCTAGATGCTTTACTTCCAGGGTGAAAACCAGGACAGCTGCCAAATATGGCCTTTCAGCACAGCCCCGCCTGGTGGATATCATCGCCGCAGTCCCACCTCAGTATCGAAAGGTCTTAGTCCCCAAATTAAAGGCAAAACCCATCAGAACTGCCAGTGGGGTGAGTAATTTGATTCATGAAATATTGATTCCATATCTTTTCTGCCAGAAATCCTTGCCTCCATGTAACACCCAGGTAGTGAGGTGGAAAAGGGGGATTCAGTTTAATAAAATCCATATATTATGATATGTGTTGCAGTAGAGACGTGCAGAATGAAAAACACTCACTGTGCTTAAAGGAGTAGATTATGTTTTAATGTCCTTAAAAGTATAAATTGAGGCTTCGTGACTATCTCAATGTGATAAATATTGTTGGCCATTTTAAGGTCATGGCTTTCAATACAATTGATACTTATAAAAGGTACTTTTAAAAGATTTTGTTTATTTGAGAGAGACAGAGAGCGCATGAGTAAGGGAAGAGGCAGAGGGAGGAGGAGAGAATCTCAGGCAGACTCTGTGCTGAGTGCAGAGCCCGAGGCTGGGCCCAATCTCATGACCCCAAGATCATGACCTGAGCTGAAATCACGAGTAGGACGCTCAACCCAGGCGCCCCTTGTACTTTTAAAAGGTAGTTAATGGTGGGCGCCTGGGTGGCTCAGATGGTTAAGCGTCTGCCTTCGGCTCAGGTCATGATCTCGGGGTCCTGGGATCGAGTCCCGCATCGGGCTCCCTGCTCCTTGGGAGTCTGCTTCTCCCTCTCCCTTTCTCTCTCGCTCTGTCTCTCATGAATAAAAAAAAAAAATCTTTAAAAAAAAAAAAAAGGTAGTTAATGGTACAAAGGCATTCTGTATGTGGTATTCGGGAAGCGACTGACGTAATGGGAAGCACTGTGGAAGTCCAGAGGACAAAGATGTCCCTGCAGTAAAAGAGACTAGGGAAAGCCCTAGAGAAAGCATGGCACTTGCTTGACATATAAATGGTGCCCATATAAGCAGAGAAGAGCAGGCTTGAAGAATAATGGGAGCAAGGACACAAGGAACTAAGGCACAGAAGTAGAGGTATTATAAGAGGTATGATGTGTGTAGGGTACAGTGAGTACCTCACACTGACTGGAGTTGATAATCCATTTGAGAAAGCAGCAGGACATTAGGTTAAAGAGTTAATTTGGGATCAGCTTGTAAAAGATCTTAAATGTCTGCAAAGAAGCTGGGTAATAGGAAACAAAGATATTTGAGGAGAGTGATATGAACAAACCAGATTTTCAGAAAATTAATTTGCATACAAGATGTAGAGTAGCTTGGAACCAAAAAGACCAGTTAGTGTACTCTTGGCTTGATCTAGGTGTAAAATATGTTAAGAACTGGAATTAGGGTAGGGGCTTTAGGATATAAAGGATGAGTGTGAAAGATAGGATTTGGACCCTCTTAAAACATGATACCCAGAATTGAATTGTGTGTTTCTGATATGATCATAGAAATTCAATCTCTTATTTGGATGGGAGTATAAAACTTGGTAATTACAGTTTATGTTGACTTGTTTAGTGGCCATATCTCCTGGATCATATTTCATTTGTGACTAATTAAACCCTAAAACTTTTATACACAATGAATCACTAATTCTGGTCTCTTCTCTCTGTACTTAAGAGTTTTTGTTTTATTTATTTGTACCTAGTGTAAAGGGTTCTTTAAGAGAAATTAATACAGTTGAACAACATGGGTTTGAACTGCATGGGTCCACTTACAGGCAGATTTTTTTCCCATAAGTACAGTACTATAGATGTATTTTCTTTATGATTGTCCTGATACTTCTTTTTGTCTAGATTACTTTATTGTAAGAATACGGTATGCAATACCTATAGCATACAAAATATGTATTAATTGATGGTTTCTGTTGCCAGTAAGGCTTCTGATCAACAGTAGACTATGAAAATAATTAAGTTTCTGGGGAGTCAAAAGTTATATGCAGTTACTCAACTGAGTTGAGGGGTTGTCACCCCTAACCCGTGCTTTGTTCAAAGGTCAGCCATAGTTTCAAACCCCTGACCTCCCATTTTTCCCCTCAGGGCAAGCACTTTTAACTCTTAGCTGATTTCTTGGCATTTGCTTCTATATCCCCAAATAACACACTCTATAGATAAGTCTTGAATTTTTAGTTTTGAGCATTATGTATGAGCTTCCTGCTATGGAAGACAAAGACTTATCAACCTTTCCTTAACCTGACTAATAAGCCTGGCTTCCATGACACCATTCTCTCTCCTCCTCCCCCTACCTCTAGTTACTTCTTTTCTTTCTTTGAGGTCTGTTCTTGTTCTGCTTGCCTCTAAAAATTGATGTTTTCTGTTGTCCTGGGTCCACTGTTCTTAGTACTGTACATGCCTTCTTTGGTGATCTCATCTATTGACATTTCTAAGTATTGTTATATGCTGACTTCCAGCTCTGACCACTCCTCAAGCTTCAGGCTTTTGTCAAAGTACCTGTTAAACAACTCTCTTTTGACTGCCTATATACTCTCAAGTATAATATAACCAAAACTAACCTCAAACTTGCTCATTCATCTTTCTTCTCCATCCTAGTTCATGGTGCCTCTATCCACTCAGTTTTCAAAAGATGTGAAATGCATTGTCCATTCCTACCACCACTGGTAGGGATATTCTGGCCTTTATTATTTCTTTTTAGACTATTTCAGTTATTTCCTAACTCGTCTACTTTTTCTTACCTGCACCAAATCCATCTTTGCCAATATCACCAGAGTGAACTATTAAAAATATCAGAAGTACAGGGAGAGGTTGGAAGATGGCAGAGTAGGAGGACCCTAGGCTCACCTCATCCTACAAATACAACTAGATAACTATCAGATCATCCTAAATACCCCAGAAATTGACCTGAAGAATTGCAGAACAAACTACACAACTAAAAGTAGAGAAGAGCCCACACTGAAGAAGGTGGTAAGTGCAGAGATGCAGTTTGGGAGAGAAAGAGATCATGGCTGCTGTGGTGGGGAGAGAGCCACAGTGGCAGAGAAGGGTGAGAGACAGACTAATAACTGTCACACCAGGGAGCCCACAGGGAAAATGAATTCCCATAGCAATTGGCTTGGCAAGTGAGAGGGGCTGAATTTGGGGAGTTTTTGCAACCAGCGGACTTAAAGACTGGAATTTTAAAGGTCAGTGGACTTGGCTGGGATAGAGCCCAGAGGGCATTGCACTGCTCTTAGAAGCTAGGCAAACAACCCATGACATACAGTGTGGAAACAGCAATCTGAAGAGCACCTGGGGGACACAGTACAGAGGTTATTTGCTCACCTCAGAGCACATCCCAGAGAAGCAGAGATCAAGGAGAGACCCCTCCAGGAACACAGAACTGACGGGCACCATTTCCCTCACCCATCCCTTGGTGTGAGCACAGGGCCACCTGTGGGAATCAGTGCAGCACCCACACTTGCTACCTAACTTGCTTATATCAAGCCCCACTTCAAGTGCCTTTACTCCTGTGGAACTGCCCTTCCCCGTCACACTTGCCTCAGTCCCAGGTTGGCGAGTCCCTTCCCCCTGAAGACCGGCCCAAACTCCTGCTTATACTGTGTCTCCTGACTCAGAAGTTTTGTGGAGCCCCTGTTCAGACAGCGGTGGTGACAGGTCTCATTCACAAGCAGACCAGAGCACACCTAGTTAAAATGCACTACATTCAGGTCAGGGGCCAAGTCCTGCTCACAAAAGGCAAAGATAGCCTCTGAAGATGACTGGCCTAAAGGATATAACAGGATAAAAAGCACAGCACATGCAGCACACATTGGTGACATTCCCAGAAGCGCCAGGCCCTGGGGAACTGGGGACAGTACACAGCAAGGCAGTACAGGACTTCTTCATAAGGCCATTACCCTCAAGAACAGGAGATGTAGCTGACTTTCCTAACACAGAGAAACAGACACAGAGACAAAATGTGAAGACAGAGAAATTTATTGCAAATGAAAGGAAAGAAAAAACAAAAGAAAAGGAAAGACAAGGAGGGAGGGAGGGAGAAAAGAAAGAAAAAAGAAAAAGACAAGACCACAGCCAGAGATCTAAGCAAAGGAGATATAAGTAACATGCCTTATGGAGGACTTAAAGCAATGATCATAAGGATACTCACTGGACTTGAGAAAAGAGTAGAAGACATGAGTAAAGTACTTAATACAGAGATAAGGAATAACATAGCAGAGATAAGGAATAACATAGCAGAGATAAAGGGCTCAATAAATGAAATGAGAAACATACTTGATGGACTGAATAGCAGGATGGAAGAAGCAGAGCAGCGAATTAATGACCTAAAAACAAAGTAATGGAAAATAAGCTGAACAAAAGAGAGAAAAAAGAATTATGCAAAATTGGAATTGATATAGGGAACTCAGTGGCTCCATCAAATGTAATAACCTTCATATTATAGGTGTCCCAGAAGAGGAAGAGAAATCAAAGGGGGAGGAGAATTTATTTGAGGAAATAATAGCTGAAAACTTACCTAGTTTAGGGAAGGAAACAGATATTCACATCCAGGAGGCACAGTGAATGACCAATAAAAGCAACAAAAGCAGATTCACACCAAGACATAGTGTAATTAAAATGGCAAAAAGTAGTGATTAAAAAAAAAACAAAAAACATATCTTAAAAGCAGCAAGAGCAGACAGTTACATACCAGGGGAAAGCCCCATAAGGTAATCAGCAGAACCCTTGCAAGCCAGAAGAGAGTGGCATGATATATTCAAAGTGCTGAATAGGAAAAATCTTCAGTCAAGAATACTCTATCCAGGGGCGCTTGGGTGGCTCAGTCGTTAAGCGTCTGCCTTCAGCTCAGGTCATGATCCCAGGGTCCTGGGATCGAGCCCTGCCTCGGGCTCCCTGCTAGTCGGGAAGCCTGCTTCTCCCTCCCCCACTGCCCCTGCTTGTGTTCTTTCTCTCGTTGTGTCTCTCTCTGTCAAATAAATAAATAAAATCTTTAAAAAAAAAAAAAAAAGAATATCCAGCAAGGCTATCATTTAGAATAGAAGGGGCGATAAAAGAGTTTCCCAGACAGGGGTGCCTGGGTGGCTCAGTTGGTTAAGTGACTGCCTTGGGCTCAGGTCATGACCCTAGAGTCCTAGGATCGAGTCCCGCATTGGGCTCCCAGCTCATCAGGGAGTCTGCTTCTCCCTCTGACCCCCTCTGCTCTCATGCTCTCTCTCAAATAAATAAATAAAATCTTAAAAAAGTTTCCCAGACAGACAAAAACTAAAGGAGTTCATGACCACTAAAACCAGCCCCACAAGAAATATTAAGGAGGACTCTTGAAGTGGAACGAAGATCAAAAGTGACAGTATGAAGATAGGAAACACAAAAGCAGTAAAAATGAATATTTATGTAAAAGATGAGTTAAGAAACTCACAAAATAAAAGGATATAAAATATAGCACCGTATACCTAAAACATGGGGAGGAGAGGAGTAAAGAATGGGTTCAAACTTAACCATCAACTTAATATAGACTGCCATATGCAGAAGATGTTATATACAAACCTAATGGTAACCACAAATCAAAAACTAATAGATATGCAAAGAATAAAGAGAAAGGAATCCAAATACATCACTAAAGAAAATTAGCAAACCATGAAAGAGAGAAAGAGAAGAAAGGATCAGAGAAAAACGTCAGAAACAACCACAAAACAAGGAATAAAATGGTAATAAATACATATCTTTCAATAATGACTTTGAATATAAGTGGACTAAATGCTCCAAAAGACATAGGGTGACAGAATGAATTAAAAAACAAGACCAACCTATATGCTGCTTACAGGAAATTCATTTTAGACCTAATGACACCTGCAGACCGAAAGTGAGGAGATGGAGAAACATCTCTCATGCAAATGTATATCAAAAGAAATCTGGGGTAGGGATACTTACATCGGACAAAATAGACTTTAAAACAAAGACTGTATGTAATAGACAAAGAAGGACACTATATAATAATAAAGGGGACAATCCAACAAGAAGATATAACAATTGTAAATATTTATGCACCCAACATGGGAGCACCCAAATATATTAAATAGTTAATAACAAACATAAAAGACGAATCCATAGTAATACAATAATAGTAGAGGGCTTTACCAGCCCACTGACATTGATGGACAGATCATCCAACCAGAAACAAGGAAACAGCTTTGAATGACACATTGGACTAGATGGATTTAACAGATATTCAGAACGTTCCATCCTAAAATAGCAGAATACACATTCTTTTCAAATGTACGTGGAGCATTCTCCAGAATAGATCACATATTAGGCCACAAAACAAGCCTCAACAAATTCAAGAAGATTGTAGTCATACCATGCATCTTTTCTGACCATAACACTATGAAACTAGAAAGGAACCACAAGAAAAAATATGGAAAGGCTACAAATACATGAAGGCTAAATAACATGCTACTAAACAATGAATGGATCAATCAGGAAATAAAAGAAAAAATTAAAAAGTACATGGACACAAATAAAAATGAAAACACAACAATCCAAAATCTTGCGATGCACCAAAAGTGGTTCTAAGTGGGAAGTTTATAACTATACAGATCTACCTCAAGAAGCAAGAAAAATCTCAAATTAACAACCTACTCTTACACCTAAAGGAGCTAAAAAAAAAGAACAAATGAAACCTAGAAGTAGAAGGAAGGAAATAATAAAGATTAGAGCAGAAATAAATGATATAGAAACTAAGAAAATAGTAGAACAGATCAGTGAAACCAGGAGCTGGTTCTTTGGAAAAAGATCAATAAAATTGATAAATGTCTAGCCAGACTTATCAAGAAGAAAACAAGAGAAAGGACCCAAAATCA